TTTCGAGAAAGAGACGTTTTCCAAAAGCAACAGATAAATATTTGCGTAAAAGCTCCCCGATGTGTGCGCGCTGGTTTCGCGAACACATCAAATTCCGTGTATCGCGCAATTCGTTTCGCATTTGATATCTCTTTTGCGCTGTAAAATAATCTAAAATCTTATTACACATCGTTGTCGTGTGTGTGTGTGTGTGTGTGTGTCCAGTGTTTTTGTTTCTTTTTTTTTTGTTTTTTTTTCAGCTCGAGCGCTTGATTAAACTCCTGACGATCCTCCTTTTTCGATTTAACAATTAAACGTTCCGCTCTCATTAATATTGCGAATTTATCGGAACCGCGCGCGCGAATGTATCGCGCGCGATTAAGCGTATTCCGGGAGGGTGTTATCGAATCGTATTGTATGCGCGAGGATATCGAAAATCGATAAACCCCCGCATTATCATTTTTCATACGAGATGTGCATACACGACTTACATTATCATATGTATATGCGCACAAATATATATATATATATATTTGTGCGCATATATATATGATAATGTAAGTCGTGTATGTTATTTGTTATATATATATATATATTTGTATAAAATATATATATATATATATTTCTTATATGTGTATATATCAAGGTTGGGTAGTGTCTAGTTAAAAAGATAAAAGTTAAGTTNAAAAGTTAAAAAGTTAAATAATTTTAACTTTATCTAGTTACATTTTTAGACTCTTATCTTTTAACTTTATTTAGTTATATTTTATCGGTAACTAGTAAATTTTTATTTCAACTCTCTTGAATCTACTATAGCCATAAGATTTTTTATTTGTTTGCATACAAAACGGAACATATTTCGTCGTATGATCATAATTAATTTTACATGTTTATAGGCCNAAAAATTCGACCAATCACAAAGCTCAAGAATGATTCGTTTTATATGCGAATAAATTCGTACGTGTTCGAGAATTGAGCCAATAAACGCTGGTCGTAAAATCCAACGCAATATAATTTATAATAAAATATATATAAAGTATATTTCTAAATAAAGTGTACATTTATTTTTTCCATTATATGTAAGATTAAAACACTGTAAATGTTTTGTAATTATTTGTAAGACTAAAACACTAAAATCATGAAAAAAAATTTAACTTTTAACTTGTTAATTATTTTTTTTATTAACTTAACTTTTAATCAATTAATTTCATTATGGATTAACTTATATCTTAACTAAATAAAATTTTTAAGATCTTTAACTGTAACTTAACTTAAATAAAAAAAAATTTAACTTACCCAACCTTGGTATATATATATATATGTAAGACGTATCATTTTGTCAGAAATAGTTTTTGCAATAAAATATGCATCACAAGTGTGCGCGCGTGTCTCGGACATTTCGAACAAAATTTGTTTCTCGTTTCGCGGTTTGTCACAGTCTTTGCTCGAGTCGCTCAAATCTCGATTGCGGGTGTACGTGCGCGCGAGCGAGAGAGGTAGATCGCGGATAAAATTTTCAGTTGCGCAATATCGCACAGGGCAGCGGCGGCGGGATTTATCCCGGGATGTGTCTGGGATTCTGAGAAATTGAACCGAAGTCTGTAAAAACATCACGAATGTGTTTCGGCGTTGAAACTTTAACGCGCGCGCGCACACACACACTCGACTTACTGAATTAAATGGTAAAACTTTGGAGAGAGGATTTGTGAATTTCTCTTATCTCGCGCGAGAGAAAAAGAGAGAGATTCGGACCGATCGTTCTTGCACGCTGTTGTTCCCGTCGATTGTTTCTTATTTTGTGTATATATAAATAAATAAATAAATAAATAAATCCACACGCCGGTAGTTCACGCGACGAGTCCTTAATTAAAACGCAGGACGATGTAAGCTGAATAATGAATATACTTTTAAAGAGATTACGCGCCACGAGCGTAGCACTCTCGTTTCTGACATTTCCGTGCGTTATCCGACTGTATAATGTTTTTTGTTTTTTTTTAATCATGTCTCTTTGTATAATGCGGAGTTTAAAGTGCGCGTATAACATGCCATTACACGGAGATATTTGCGCGACTCGCATCAGGGATGTATTTTTTTTCTTTTCTTTTTTTTTACGCAATTTGATATTCTCAACATTTTGTTTAAATTATTTTATTCTCGACGTATTGTTGACATTTTGTATCTCAGAAAACGTCGTTTCGATTGAATCAAACGTTGCGCGCGAGGTTTCGTTTTATTTTCTCTTCTCTCTCGCTCGAAACACAATCGCAAACGGTCGACACATCAATTTGCAAATTGCTGATTAATGTTCGTATCTCCGACTCTCGCGCGCGCATATTGGCTTCGTCTCTCCCTCTCGATCCTGACCCGTGTCGCGCTCTTTATCCCCCGCATCCTGCGTGCTCGAGCCGGGAATAATTGAAATTAATTACGTTCCGCCTCGTTCGTTCTTTCGTTCGCAGCCGTACCGCGAAGAGGAGAGGAGCCAGCAGCTATTGTTCCTCGCGAAAGGGTGATTAATGTTTTTCATCGTTGCGTTTAATTCTTTGGGCGTAAGCGTAAACGCCCTTTGTCTTCTCCGACATGGATTAAGCTCTCGATCTCCCTCTCCCTCTCTCTTTCTCTCTGTTTTTGTTTGTTTGTTCTTTTTCTCTTTCAAAATCGCACGCCGCGTGCACCCACGTCTCGAACGCAAGAGCAATTGAAAAAAAAAGTTTAACAAAGATCGTTCGCTTTGTTTAATTCGTTTCAGGCGCTTTGCTTGTATTGTTATTTCTGTTTTGCGCCAGCGTGAAATCGATCCGATTCTTCTTGGCAATCGAGAAAAAAAAAAAAACAAACAAACAAATGTGATGATTTATCACACCGCGTGCGCGCTTCTCGCGCTTTAATTGGTACGTAGCCTGTGTTATATCGCCGACGTGTTTCGTGTTTGATTCGGGTGTGTAAAACGCTTTATGCGCGATTTGCGTCAAATCAAAATCGCGCACTCGGAGAGTAAATCGACGAGCCGCGCAATTCCTCCGAGCAGAGATCGCGAATAATAATCCACATTAAATGGAATTTCGTAGCTCGCGTATATACGAGCAGATGAGCGCGCACACACACACACATACACACACACACGCGCACACATTTCATTCGCGCTCGTTTCTCTCAGTGTCTCCGAGAATGTCCGTGTGCAACTCGCTCGACATTTTATACCGCAATTCCGCACCGTTTCCGCAACAAAGTTCGGCCGTGTGCATTCGCGAGGAATACTTACCGCAGTTTAGTAGCGCGCGATCTCGTCGCTCCGCTGTTCGCGCATTTATCTCGCACCGCAAGCCTGCACAACTTGCACGCTGCCTCGAATAATAAACGAGAGAAAAAAAAAACTCTCATCCGAAGATACACCGCAGGCGAGAGCAAAAAACGATGCGCCGCGGCCGCTGAAACAAAAGAAAAAACAAAACCGCCGAATCTCTCGGCGAAAGAGCGAACTTTGCAGAGAAAGAGAGAGAGAGAGAAAAAGAAAAAGAACGCGGAGGAATTATGCCGGACAAAAATCCGCGCTGCCGGGATGGACAACAGCAACGCGAGAACAAAGATTTCCTCTCCGGCGAGATATCGTCCATCGGCATGTCCTTACGGCCCAGCGGGAGCGCATCCTCCGGTGAGTAACTCCGCCAAGGACGACGACGAGTCTTGACTTACTCCTCCCGCGAATCTCTCACGAGACGAGGCATTCGCTAATTGCGTTGCATAATTCCGTTGCGTATATACCGACGCGTGTGTCACACATGCATAAGCTATGAATATCTGCGTGCGTCACGTCCTACGCAATTAGGCGGAATGAAAATTCCAACGCGAGTCCCGAAAAATTGTTCCTGTGCACCGAAAAAATTGTATTCTTGTTTTGAGGATATCCCACTTACTTTAAGTATATTTTATACTAAAATAAGCGCCAAGAAGAGTTTCTTATTTTAAGAGGAAAATCCTCTAATTAGTAATATTGATAAGAATATAAAAAGCCTCTATAGAAAAACATATATATCTCACTATCGAAAAAGACTATGTTCTTAAATTAAGAATATATTCTTAAATAAAGAATATATGCTTAATTTCAGAAGAATATCATCTAAAATGTTTAAGAAGATTTTTTAAATATAAAATCTTCTACTTACAAAAATATAATATTTTTTCGGTGTATATATATATATATATATATATACACGTACACCGAAAAAATTGTATTCTTGTTTTGAGGATATCCCACTTACTTTAAGTATATTTTATAC